CCCCTAAATTTAGATGATTCTGCATCAATTTAGTTTTTATACGTGTTTAAATATACATAGTGATTTTCTTCCCAAAATACGAATATTGTAAATATTCTGAGAATTTGATGAAAATATTCGGTGAAAATAAAATATTTACGGAGGATTTTCCGAAAACACATCTATGTATACCAACTGTGTTGTAAGCGGCAGTATCAAACGTGCTATATGTGTGTGCCGACGCACGTCTGGAGCTGACGAGGGATCTATTTCGGGAAACGACTGCTTCGTCGAACATACATACGTGTGAGTCCATCGAGTCGACAGTCCTTTGTCTGATTAAAATCGTATTGGTCGTTACCTATTTTAAAAACGCATCCTCGCGGCGTGTGTGCTCGAATGAAAGTGCGTCTTGTTTATAAAAGTATTCCAAAATGGGAAATATGGTCAGTAGTGCCCCAACTAGGGAACAAGACGCAGATAACGTCACAAGTGAAAGTGAAATGTTGGACAATACAGGTGATCTCCGTACTGATGAAACAACTGAAGCCTTTGAAATGGCTAGCGAAAACTCTTTAAACGAAAATGAAGCACGGGCTAAAGCAAAAGAAGAAGAAATGAATGAGTTCAGAAAGCAGCTTGATATAAAACGTGAACAAAGGAGACAGATTTTGGCGCGACATCGTACTGAAAAAGAAGAATTGGAGAAAGCTTTGCAAAATGAGAAGGCGGCAAAACTGGAACTATTTGAAAGCAACAAATTACTTTGTGAACTACTCTCGAGAAATAATATTGAAATCCCTGATAATCTTATCCATTTAAAAGGAAACTGTGAACTCACAGATGCTTTAGCCAAAATGACAGAAGAATTTGATGATTTGAAAGCAAATAATTTGAAACTTCGAAAGGATCTATCAGAAACTAATCGTGCGCTACAAGAAGCGTACACTGATATTGCAGATCTGAACCAACAGAACACAGAATCCATTAAACAGATTCGTGCGTTGAAAGAAGTGGTATCAGTTAGTAAAACAATGATTAGCCTTCGAGAACAACAACTGAATGATGTAAGTGTTACTGCCTCTGATATTTTAAATGCTGTACTAAGTACCTATGTGAAACAATAACACAAAATAAGTCGGTTGATAATCATATCTATCTACTATTTTATTTTACAAACTATGTTCTAAGGACTGTATTATCTATATACTGAACCATTGTCGCATGATGGATAGTAAGTTCAATGTCATAAGCATTTATTAACAAATATTTTTAAAATACGTAGCCTCTGCTAGCGCTTATTAAACCTACAGGAATTAATCTAGTACATTCTATGGGTTTCTTCATTCTAATAAAGGAACCTCCAGGTCATTGCCTATGCCAACGACCTGAAGGCAGCATGGCTGCACCCGGTCAGGGACCGCCGACGAACGGCATGCGATCGCAACGCATCATCTGTTACTTGGCGTCTTACGTTTTGTCAAACTGCCAACTCCATGTTGTTCTCCTATAGCAGCTGTAATAAACTTTTCTTGGTCATTTTGATATGGCTATCAATTAAGATAAATAAATTATTTTGATTGACGTAGGTCATTACTGGTCATTAGGCATACCGATCTTTGTTACTAACCATACCATATAAGCAAGTTGTAGTAGACAACTACAATTTATAAAATTGTAATTTTCAGTTGAAAGAAAAGCTAAATGAAATTGAACGAACTTTAGCGGATCGCGAGACAAATCTACTATCAGCCGATCTAAGACAAGAGTATGAACGACAGTTACAGAATATTCGCACACTCAGAGGGCTTTATGAGGAGCGAGCTCGACTTGCCGAAGTCACCCGACAACGACTGGTCCGAGAGTTGGATGAACATAAAGTACTTTATCAAGCTGAGGTAAAAAAGTAAGTATCAAAATTAGTTCAACTATCACCTTCAGCTCACTATCATCACATTAAGCTCATTTTCGTTTATTGCTGCATATATTGCTGCTCTTCAATGTCTCAACACTGGACTTGAATTTTAGCTCTTTGCATTCAATTGAACGTACAACACGAAAATGGGTAATTAAGCTATCATTGTAAATATTAAAATTTCAGGAGCAACGACCTCAATACAAAAGTAGAAGAACTTGAATCAAGAATAGATTCCCTAATAGATACCATCGATAACAAAAATTCACAAATATCTACAAGTCAGATAGAAACAAACGTCTTGAAGGCCGAAATGGCAGTCGTAAATAAAGTAAGTGATAGGAGATTTGAGATTTAATATTATCATCACCTCCTGTTGGTTAAATTTGTCTAATTTTTTTTAATTATTTATAGCTTTTCTCTCAAGTGCTCCTTGGAGAAAAAACAAAACAAGATTTAGATACACTGGTTCAAAGACTAGAGGAAAACCATGGCATACTAACACAAATGGCTGAAAAAGAAAATGGATCAGAAGCATCGTCGGCTTTACCCAAGCTTTTGTTAGAGTTAGTCAGTCAAGTGGATGAAAATGAAGAAAAGTACATTGATGAAACTCAAAATGACAACGCGAATGAACCTAAAGACAAAGAGGAAATATCAGCAGAACAAGATTCAGGTAAAGATAGATCCAATGGGTTTTTATTTTGCAGATTTTTGACTTACATAAACATCATCACTTGAACCGTATTGATTTTTACAGATGTACAAAAACCGCCAACTACAACTGCTGAAGAAATAGTAGAAAATCTACCGAAAGTCTGGAAAGTCTTAATAGAGCTTCTCAGTCATCAAAACGCGCCCGACGGAAACTCTCCGGAAAAAGTAACAACGTGCTATAAATCCGTTGAGACAAAATCGGGACCAGTGTTAGTGCCAAGCGTTAGTCAGACTTACATCAGATTAAAGGTAATTGCTTATCTCATTGCTCCGACCGTTATTATTTTCTAGATAAATTGAGTCATGGTCAAAAATCACAATGTAAAAATAAACATGTTCATGATCATTACTTTGCAGTAGGTACTCAAAAATGCGCAGCTTCAGTTTGGTAGAATGCCAATTTTTTGTTTAAACTTGGAAAACAAAACAATAATTATACTGTTTTTCTCTAAATCAGCAAAACAGTACGTGTAGTCTTTAGTTATTAATATGATGTCGTTAAAATTACAGGATCTTATACTAGAAAAACTGGGTCTCATAAAAGAGGTCAACCGTATGAAACAACTCAATGGCCACCTCGAAACTCGTTTAGAAGAACAAGAACGAAGACTATGCATGGTTACAAATGAGTTAAGCAAAACGTGGCATGTTGTTGGTCGGCTAAGGAGGCATCATCATCAATTACATACCCACGAGAAAATACTAAAATATGAATTACAACAAAAGAGAAAGCTGTTGAACGAACTTAAAGAAGAACTTGAATACTGTCGGGAAAAATGGGAACAAGCTCGTGAAAAGAATACCCAGTCTGAAAGAGATTGGAGAACTCTGAGAGCAGAATTCTCGAGTAGGAAAACAAAATCTGGCTCACCGTCGTTCAATAACTCAGGAGAAAGTGGATATAGTGATGAAAGACCATCAGACGAATCTTCTGAATCGAATGACGAAAGTGAATATGTGGCAGAGCCACTTACTAGATGTAAGAGGAAACTTAAGAAATCATTCGATTCTAGTACAGACTTTAACATCGCAGAAAGAGAAGACCCCGCTAGTGATATGCTTGATGTTGCTGATTTACCACTAGATACTCAGGAAGGTGATGATAATCATGACTTGACTTCTGAACCCAGTAAAAGTGAACGATTTCCTAAAAATGGAATTATTTGTGAAGAGACAGAAGATGAAATTGGAGACATTACCCACGATGACTCTTGTCCAGAAGAATCACATGCAGAAGATAAGTTCATTGATAAGCCCAATGAAAACTGCGATGCTCCGGAAAATGAATCACCATTAGGTCCCACCACTTCTGATCAACCTTCAATAAGTTTACCACTGATCGACCCAGCTGAAATTTTAAAGAATGTCCGCCTTCAAAATGAGAGATTGGCTAAAAAAGATCAAAAACTGAATAGTCTTGAAGCGAGCAGCGCTGCATTATTAAAAAAGACACAGACAACGGTTAAAATAGGTGAACAAATAAATGATACTCTGGACCATCTTATAAATCGGCCGACAACGAGTCAAACACTATGTGTTTCTGGAAATGAACCTGAAATAATGCCTACCTTACAAATCGATAATGACACCGAAAATAAAGCAATCTCAACAAAAGACATCAATCTCACAAGAACAGATAATACACATTCATTGGATGACTTAGAAAATATTAAAGAACTCAACTTTGAAGCAACAGACGGAAAACTAGATAATGATAAAGATACAGTAAATAATGATCAAACTGTAGAATCCGTAACAACTGATTCTTCCAACACAATGTCAGTAACCGACATACAAGCTTCAAATGTAGAAACTCCAGATTTCAAAGCTATACTAGAAAATGTTCGAAAACAAAATGAAAGGCTTGCTAAGAAAGATGAAAGACTGCAACAATTAGAAAGCAGTTGTTCTGAGGTGGTAAATTGTATAACTGGTACGCTTAAAACAGGTGATAAAATAATCAAGAAACTTGAAACTCTTCACAATGAAAAAGCACACGGCAGTAATGAAGATCCCAATGTATCTAGAGGAGATAATTCTGGTTCCGACAAAGAAGATTCAGTACCGTCAACATCTGGTGAAATTGATCACGAGGCTAGATTTGCTGCGCGTGATTTACGGTTAAAGCGATTGGAAGAACAAACAAAATCACTCGTAAACAAAGTTAACAAAACCAACTCTAAAGGCGTGAAAATACATTACAAATTGGAAGAGCTGCATAATATTTACGGCTCAGAAAGTTCTCGGGCTGGCACACCGTCAGAGGAAAATGAGGACAAAAGTAATGCCAACGATTCTCCAGAAGAATAAAGTACTTATATTTTTTATATATTAATTGGTGTCGTATGTAATTTAAATGTTGTAATTAATTCGGAATAAAAGTCTCAAATGGAGAATAAATGTATATTCTTGACTATTCTCATTGTATTCACATTTATCACAATAAAATTAAGCACCAAGGGCTTGTTATAGGTCACACACATATTTTTGGTACAGATCAAAGACAGAGATTTTCTTAATTCTCTTAAAAAGAAATCATACAATTTTTTCCTTGCAGTAACAATACAAATCCTAGCAGGGGAACAACCCACAGAGAAATAGCTAACTTAAATATACGACTTAAAAATAAATTTACACTGGGTGACGGTCATTTGAACCTAATTCAAACACAAACACACTCATACACTGATTCGTAGTTAGCCATTATCTAAACATCACCTAGACACATCACAAAAATTAGCATATCTTCTACTACATTTAATTTTATAATTTAAAAATATAAGGTGTTTGAGAAAAACACTCAAAAAAACACCTAAAAATATTGACAAAAGGTGCCATATTCATAATTTTCATTTTGAAAATACAACATTGTGTACTTATTTGTTGATAATATCAATGCATCACTAGTTTCACAATACAATTAATAAGGTACTTATAAATAGCCGTTCAGATTTCTGGTACATTATTATTGAAGGATTTGTTATCAATGCCGTCTTTAATGCTCTTTACTTCAATGGATCGCATATTATCTTCTAAGACTGCGACGACTACTCTGTCTCTCTGCACTTTCTCCATGTCCTTGCCTGGTGGGGAGCTGTAGACTCGCCACGCCCAAATCGATATTAGTAGCATCTCTAACATCATTATACAGTTGTTTATAACTGGAAAGATAGAAAAATCTAAATTAATTTAACTGCGTCTAGAATTAAACATGAACTAGAGCAATCCTATGATAAAAAAAAATATTGTTATGGCTGAACCCAGGAAGGAATTACACAAAAGGAACCACAGGACAGGCAAAAGCTTTCTCTACATTTTCGGTGACCTATCCGCGACCTCCAAGTGGATTGGCAACTGTGAGGATTATGGCATGATACTAATAATGATGACGAAAGGTTTTAGAAACATCAGTTAAAATTTCCAATTAATTTGAAACTGTGTAATGAAGCCTTATAGGAATTCTAGTCACAAATGCGACCTTCTCTAGCACCCAATTTGAATAATAAAATATTTTGAGATTAGACTAAAATAACCATTTAAAAAAACTTACGAGATGCAAATACGCCGGGATGTAGTTTCATAACGCAGGATAAGTTCGCCATGTTGGGCACGGACTTGGCGAGTCCACATTGCAGCTTCACGATGATGAGTACGAGCTGGATGACGAGGAACCTGGGGCGTGGTGCACGACCCACGGATATAGCTGCCCGAACACACATCACTACGCCCCACATGCCCGATAGAATGGACGCCGCGATGAATGGTTGGAAGTATACAAAGTTACCTTGGTATAACATCTGGAAACAGAATTGATACACTATTATAACATATTGGGATATTCATGTGTAAGTAGGTACATCAATAACTATTGAGGACTACCTAAAATGTGATAGGATGATGTAGGAGAGAATGGAAAATGAAGACATTTTGTGTCGACCGTACCCCAAGTGGCTTAGGAATAGACAGAAGAAAAAACATTACGACTTTTTATTTGGATATGAGATAAATAGGTATCTATGAATCTTAATAAGTTAATGTAATATGTATTTTAATTGCAACTAAATTAGCAAATGATAACAATTTCATACATAGAATACTTAGAATAACAGAAAAATACTTACAAAATCTTCCGACCAGATGACAATTAGAATAAAATAAATAAGTCCTTGAATGATCGGTATCTGAAGGACCAAATACCGCAACCACATTAGACTTTCCCTGAAAAAAAAATCTAGGTTAATACTTTAATAACTGGTTCCTAAGAGATTACAATGGAGTTAGAATAATAACATACATTTCTGGTAAAATTGGAATAGCATGCAATTAGCCTGATATTTATCACTATCACAGGTAGTTATTATGCAATCATACAAATTACACCAGTGGATATAAAGCTATTAAAATCCTTATTTTATTAACTATCTACATGGAACTACTCTAAATATTAATATTGCAACGAGACATCTGGTTCACTTAGGCTATTCTGTAACGTTCAATTCGAAAGATCGAAATGAACTCGATTGCGGTCCGCCATGTCAGGTTGTGAGAATAATCTAGATTCTCGACCAATGACGGGCGACAATGCAATCGAGCTAACTTCGAAAATTCGAATTTACATATTAAAAAAGTAAAGTGGATGTTGCATTGTGTACGTGCACATTGTGCACGGCCTATCCCTTCGGGTATTAAAAGACGTGAAGTCTTTGAAACAATTTAATTTACAGTTCTTATATTATACTAACTACTATCGTGTGGTTCCACCCGCCCTGATTGTCTTCTATCGATCGTAAAGTGATGTTTTACACCCTATAAACTTTCTCGATAAATGCGCTATAGATACGACTACAGAACATATCGATGCCTTAGTTCACAATTGCACTAACTACAAAATTTTCAATTTTTACTTTTTTAATGCCAAATACACTAAATTTCATGCTCTTTCGTTTCCGCGCATCGAAACACCGTTATTCCGTCTCTTTCTACCAAAAACGTGGGTCACAGTTGTATTAAATGACCTCGTCTAATGTTTCTTATATGTGGTATTATACTAATGATCTTTATTTTTGTAAAACCAATCAAGATATACTTTAACTGATTTTAAGTTTCTCAACTGTAGGAAATTTCAAAACACAAACGTATTATATACATTTGCAATATCTGCTCATACTTTTTAGCAGTGCTACAAGAGTGAATTATGTGTTGTTAGTACAAAAGGATCAAGAAAGTTTGATGCACAAGTGTGCTAAGTACTTTTATTGGAAGGGGCTTGGCAATTTTTTAAATGCATAAATACATTAAACCGTTTTGAGATATAGTCCGAATTGTACAAGTGTACAAGTTCCGGGCTATAACATTTGACCTTCAAGCTATCCTATCGGTACCTTTTACTGGAGACTGCAAAATCTATTATTTACGTAAATTATCGATGTACAATTTTACTATCCTAGATTGTTATGATAACACTGGCTACTGTTATTTATGGGACGAGTGTAATGGCAAAAAAGGTTCTACTGAAATCGGATCGATATTGTTAAAATATCTTAGTAGTTTACCCGAAACTGTTACTCATGTCGCATCATTTTCTGACACTTGTGGTGGTCAGAACCGCAATAAATATGTTACTCTAGCCGCTTTATACGCTGTCAATAACATACATCACTTAGATACAATCGATTTGAAATTCATGGAATCGGGGCATTCGTATTTAGAAGTGGATTCAATTCACGCGTGTATTGAAAGAGCGCGAAAGCATAAAAGCATATTCACTTTGCGTGAATATGCATTGGTGATAGGGTCGGCTAGAATCAAGCCGAAACCCTACGATGTTGTTATTATGAAACACGGGGAATTCTATGATTTGAAGGGATTCGAAAAAACTTTGAATTGCAATACAACAAAAAATACAAAAAATGAGCAAGTACAGTGGCTGAAAATTAAGTGGCTGCGGCTGCAGAAAAAATCCCCCACTTCAATTTTTTACAAATACGATTTGACCGATCCAGATTTCAAAGAAATAGACATTTGTAAGACAAAAACAATGAAAAAAAATAAAGACATATGTATAAGCAAACTAAAGAAACCTCTGAAAGGAGCATATAAATCACTGATTCCAGTGTCGGAAACTAAAAAGAAAGATCTGATAACACTTTTAAATGATGGGGTTATACCACCAGAATATGAGCACTATTACAAAGATATTCCATCCACTTCTGCGACTATTGTTAACAATAATTGTGATGACACTGAATCGTCTGATGATGATCCAGATGAAGAGTCCATTATTGAAGAAATTTAATTTTTGATTCAATTTTTAATTACCAATTAGTAAAAATGAATAATTATTACCTGAAACTGAAGACTGACTTTATTTTTTAATAAAAAAACTTATTTTAATGATTCAGAGGAATGATAATTGTTTTGTGAAATAGCTAAAGATTGGCCTATAATTGGGCTTCAGTTCTTTTAATTTTTTTGTTGTGATTTTGAAATTTATTTTATTTGATTGTGAATAAAGACTGTTTGTGTTTTGTAATAAAAATAAACATTATGAATATGGATCACTGGTTTATTATTTTGTCTATTTAATGCAATATCCATAACTATTATTATCCCTCTTCTTGGACCTTGAACCGGCCTGGTAAAGCTGTTAAATATTTTTGAGTTATTCACTTAATGCCGGTCAGCATAATCAGTCTTAGTGCACAAATGTATTAAAGGGGAGGTTTTCTTTTTATTTGGCCGTTTTGAAAAGGTTACGTTTAAACTAATATTACAATATTGATATATGATGGAGTAAAAGGACTAGTCTTATGAGTCTGATGCATATTTTTTTGTTATTTTACTTGGATTTTCTACTGTTCTCGTCTAAACTTTAAAAAACTTTAAAGCTCTCTCCTCAAAAATGTAAATTTCGTAGTTAGTGCAATTGTGAACTAAGGCATCGATATAAAGAAAAGAAGGGTACGACATACAAAGAATTATTCAAATCAGGGCGTTTACTCTTGAAACCAATTTCAATGTCAATGCAATTTCAATCCTATAAAATCAATAATTTTTCAAAGTCAATACTATACAACCACAATCGTAGCTGTTAAAATAGCATTCAGAGTACGGAATATAAAGGCAAACTCAATATCATTTAGTTTATTCAATATCCTCCCAATACGGATGCGCTAGTGTTGCAACTCAAGAGTACGACGATACCAATGTCGATCGATCGGAATTGGATTTAAGAGTAAGCCCCCAGATCAGTAGCTCCGGAGTTTAGGGCGTTCAAAGTAAACGAACAAACACTTCAGCTTTAAGTATATGTATAATAAAGTAATATAATAATATAAGATAAGATTAACTATGTACGCGAACCTACCTAAAATTTACTAAATATTACTTCCGAATAATGTCACAGCTTCTATCGATTTCAAGTACCTAAATATGTATTTATAGGTGCTCAGATATCCTAAATTATTTATTAAAAAATGATTATTTCAAAACACTTCAGTAAATTGAATAACCAAGTGCAAACAATGTAATTGTCATAACCTTTTCAAGGCAGAAACAGTAATTAGTAGTGTTTCGATTATAAAGCGATTAGGTAATTGCCACCTTTTGACTGAAATTGCTAGTTGTTCGTAATAAACTCTACAATATAGGTATATTTAGTGTAAGTAAACAAGATAATCTTTAAAAAATGTTACATTTACATTTAAATTGTTTTTTTTTTATGGAATACATGGCAAATGAGCAGACGGAACACCTGATGGTTAGCGATCAGCGCCGCCCTTATGGTATAGGTAGATACTATCGTGAGTTCATACCTAAGTAAGTATTTGAATATAGATTTTTCAAAAACCCAATCGACACTGCGTTATTGAAGTAATTTTATGTGACTTATAACATCATAAAAAACAACAATTTCGGGACAATTATAAATTTTCTTTCGTGCTTATGTGTAACTTTTACATCATAAAATACTGTTTATTTAAATATTCTGTTTATAATTTAAACCATAGATTAATATTAATTAATTAAATCTAGTCGATAATAATAAATAAAAATAACAATTGATTCATAATTCTACAACGCAATAACTGTGTACAAGATAATTGGTCATTAATAAAGGTACACAGGTATTAATTAATGATTAAAGACTAACTGGTACTTGGTAGTCGGTCTGTATAATAAACCGGTTTAACTATCAACTATAATAATGGAATTATTCCATTTTCCGTAACTATTGAATAGACTTACGTATCACTTGTAGTACCTAATACAATAGATATAATAGCTACCCAATAGAAGAACAATTACGCAAGGCTCTTTCAGGGGGTAAAATCATCCAATGACTTCTCCCGCCCGGGTAAGGCGAGAGGGAGTGTCAGACTCTACTGACTAAAAACCACCCCGTTCCTACTCCTGCACTTCGAACTAGTTCGAACCGGAGCCCCGACTACCCGTTAAGCCCTCCGTAGCTTCATATCGGCATCAGCCCTATTGGGCCCCGTCTGTGATGGTCTGATGGCCCCTTGAGGCGCGCGTGAAGCGCGACACGCCGTACGCTCGGGTCTGGTTCTGATCGGGCGGCGAGTCACCCGTGCTCGCCGCCCGCAGACCCGTGCTTACGGTGGCCGGAGATCACAATTAAGTAAGGCTTCACTATATGTATTACCTACTAACTAGGGTCTGCCTAAACCTTCGCCCGCGTTCCTGTCGGATAAGAAGTAGTCTATGTGTCATTCCAAACCATAATCTACTCCCGTTCCTATTTTGATCCCTATCCCCGTTTTGATGTGACGGAGTAACAAACCAACTTTCACATTTATACCTAATACTAATAATACGATTATATAAAACACTACGTACCTACCAATAAGCTAACCTACTGTATAGCACTGTTACACACAAAGGGTGTTAAAAAAAAGATGCAATTAAATTTAAATCAATGCAGTTGTGCCTTGAATCTTCGAGGACTATAAAAACATGTTAGCACAAGTTTGTTTGTAGAAAAATAGTCTTATTAATAATTCATTAAGTCATTAGAAGTCTGAATCATGAACGTTGAACTTACTTATGCAACTTCGGCCTTGGTATAACGCAACACGGCCAACAGCAGCATGGCATCACCCTCGTCTCTAGGTCAGCGCCACCAGCGCTTCTGTAAACATTCAATAGGCGATCAATGTCCTGTGTTCCAAAAAAATATAATTTAAAAAATATATTATTGGTCCATAGTAAATAATGCTATGTAAACTTTTAAGTTCTACACGCAATGTCGGATTTAGCACCTTTATAGTTTATCCGCGGTTTCGCTTGCGAATCTATGCGAATGAAAATGCGTATAGTCATAGAACGATCTTCCAAGGCCCTGTTCCAGATACCCTTTGATAAAATTAGGTTAACATGGACACTTGTAAACTGTTTATTAATGGAATTAATGTAATAATTAATCACAACAGGTCATTGAAAAAAGAGTTATAATAAATGATAATCCTGATGAATCCTGAATGCTGATAATCATGATAATAATATGTAAGTATAGCCTGTCAGATAGGCTTACGATGTAATATTGTCCCTCTGCGAATGGCTTGTTAAAAACCGAGTCACAAAATAGATAAAGTGTACATACTGTATGTAGATATTGGACTAAATATACACCTATGTTGATATAACAGTATGAATAAAAAATATAAAATTGTCAGGAGAAAAATACCCTATGCCAAATTTTTTTTTATGACGCGTGGTAACCTACGCCTAGCTTATTGGAGATAATAGACTACCTACTTAGGGAGTGTGGGATTTTTACCTTACTAAAACTACCCCGGTAGCCACCCTCAAAACCTGTATTACGATAGGACTTAGTTTTACGATGCACCAAGTAGGTATCATTTCAGATTAGTTAAATAAACATACTAATAAGTGTTTAATATAAGTAAGCTTTGTCATTAGGTATCTGACAAAGGAGCTTACTTAGGTAAGATATAGTAAACATATAATAATAGATTAATCTATTGGAATAAAGAAAACCTATGTTTACGCCTGCATTGAATAACCTTCGTGACTATGACTAATATTTATCTTCAATTATAATCGACGTTTAATTATTTTAGTAGTGCTTTTTACCTTAGCATTGTAAATCGTGACATAAATTATGTTAGTACCGACTCTGCCTATATTTGCATTATTGCACGTTTTATTAACGTGTGTTAAAAAATATATGAACTCTATACTAGCTAAGTAAGTACACACAGGATGTTAATTGATTCAGTTCATAAATAAGTATTTATGACCGAAAAAAATAAACTTGAAAAATCAAATACCCAAAAACGATTTAAAAAAAATAATGTAGGTAAGATAGCTTAAGCTTAACTTACCTATATCTTATAATAATACATAAGTATTTCTAACAAGCAAGTGTGATTGCAATACCTACCAAATATAGTTATAGCTAACATTTTTATTTTATTTTATTTCCTAGTTACCAAAAATATCTTAATTCTGATCAACACAGCTTGCTCGCAACACGCAAAACATTCCGCTACTCCGGCAAAAACAGTTGTAAAAATGAATAATACACTATTATTACAAAACGTGCGACGAGACGCGATTCGATCTATGGGAGGTAAGCAATTTCGTTTCAACATGGTCCTCACACGTAGTATAGCAAACACATCTACACGCAAGAGTTGATGTTGCGGGTTACCTAACCGAACCGCAATAGGAAAATATTCGCTATTCTGCGGTACGCGTGCATTAATGCATACGTAATTCTTAATATACTGTGGTAACTTAATGCTAGAAAGACTACTACTAATATGTACGAGGTCGAAGAAGTGGTATTGAGATTTTCGATTTCAGAATTCGAATGAGTAGCACTGGAGTACGGAATGGTAAGTTAGTCTTAATTAGCCAAGTTGATTATCATTAATCGATTCTGTAACGCTATAGAAAAATTAAAGTAGCGTATATTTATATTTCCTAGAGCTGCAGTTTGAGAAACTTAATAATCGATAAGTCTATCGATATGAATGACATAAACAAATGAATTGTAAAAGATTTATTTCGTTTCCACAGCGTTAATTATACCTCTATATAGATAATCAACATGATGTCTAAAGGCTATTGTTTTATAAATAACATAATTATTTCTATAACTTGCGTCTACTGCTGGGGCTCATAACATGCGTGAGCAAAAAGTCATTGCACCAGCAACAGCCTATATTGAACCCTTCCGGGAAACAGGCATGATGTCAGACATTTATATAATGGTAACTTTATGTTATAAGTACATTTATATTATATTACTTCATTCTCAAACCATTTACAAAGTGTTATATTACAAAGATTTAATGTTTACTTTGTCAATAAAATAATGCAATAACCACAGCTTCCTATTCTTTATCAGTAGAGGTAGTAAATAGTGTTCTGTAGTGTTAGAACAAGATAAGCATAGAATGCTTTATTACTAAAGTAAGGTGCATATAGACATTCCTTATCTCATTGCGTAAATCGTAATAGATAATCGTAAAAGAGAAATCGAAAGCCAGTATCTCTACAGCGTGAAATCCGTACGTGCATTGTTGGGCTACTTGCAATCATTTCTTTAATTGTTATTGCTATCGGCTTAAACTGTCAAACACCAAACGGTCACCGGTGACCGCAACCTATTGTTCTGTAATTGTGTCTACAAAACCGGTACTCAACGAGTTAATAGTAAGAATGTGTCATTTCGGATCCAAATCACTAAAATTATATAATTAAACATTTCATATTTTCAAGTATTTTGCTTGAATTCACGCTCTAATTTCGACAGACAGTCAGATTTTAAGAAAGGAAAAATATTAAATTTAATTTTATTCACGAAGGTCAAATGTTAAATGATGACGAAGTCCCAACCCAGGTGAAATCGCGATGCACAACACTAGTAACATGTAATATTCAAGATCACCTACATCTAATGGTTTTGATAGATTGTTTTGTTACTAGTCTATAAACTAATTAATACCTGGTTACAAATAGTAGTATTATGTGTAATTAGTTTTATGAATAAACTCTTAAAACATTGCAATTTTAATGCCTACGTCATGGAAGTTGAACGTAGTTATCAAGAAAGAGCTACCAGGCTACCACTTGGCTTATTCAATACTTCACCTTTACAAATTGTTGTGTAAAATCGTAAACGATTTGCGAATATTGCATCATTGGTAAAGCGTTGAAATTCTCGTAATGAGAACGGATATGCTTTGCAAAATATTTTTCATAGTATTTGTCATAATTCACTTGTCTTGGCTGCCTAAAAAAGGAGTGTAAATGATAACAATTATACGTCTAAGTACTCAATATTTTAGGCATATTTTTTTCACGCCTAAGTTGTTAACATTTTTAACCACCGTGTGTCTAAACGTAAAACATGTATTTTCTATTGTGTGTCGTATACCTACAGGCATTCAAGCGGTTAAAATGTGACTGGATCACAATTTACACAATCGCGTAAAAAACCCCATTAACTATTAAAAAATACTGGATTTGTCTATGTAATCAATAATCATCGGACACAATCAAAAACCATTTATGGTCATTAATAGAATTTAAACGCGGGCGCTTCGATTTCCTTCTATGTATAGTATAGACACGACGATGGCTATTTTTTAACTATTTAATTTTTATATTTAATTGAAGCATGAACAACTACTCAAAATAACTCAACTTATTTCCAAATGCCAAAGTTATTATTGTTAAGAATGTAATTACTTCCTTATTAGGCGCAAAAAATACAAAAGTGTTTGATTGAGTAGTGTGTAAGGAGTTACGGACCTGACAAACTGTTCTGTGCCACCGCATTCTGCTATGACCAAGCAGAAGAAGTGGTACAGAGCTACCATAACAGCTTCTTGGGCTACAGCTTCAGCTGGCAGTCGAGATCTGGGTACCACTATCATTACGAGAGCGCTCGCTGCCACGATCTGCAAAAAGAAAGTATTTCGTTGTTTAAATGGTAAAGGCTGAGTAAATCGTGTTCCGCTTCAATAACAAACACGATATGTTTGCATGTCAAATGTTTCGTTGAATGGATCTTTATTATTTAGTCACGCATAAACCAGTGACCGAATTACTTATTTGCAGCTAGGTATCTGCTACGAACATCAATATACCTATATAAATGTCTTTGGAAGTAACACTAACATAGCTAATAGAAGAAAGTTGGGATAAAAATGTCCTTCTGTCTATCGTCAAAATGGTCTTTTAATTAGGTCAGTGAGCCACATATAATACAGATTTTCTCAAAGTACTTACTTACGTATTAAACTGTCAAACACCAAGCGGTCACCGGTGACCGCAACCTATTGTTCTATAATTGTGTCTACAAAACCGGTACTCGACGAGTTAAGTAAGTATTTTATAGCACGGAGTCTTAAAATGTGCCCAGTATACTAATGTGGCAATAGACCCACCCCCTATTACATGGGACTCATAACTTGAGTAATGAAAAGTGGATGTTACATTGTACAGTGACATTAAGTACCGTAATATGCACCTCCACCTACCCCTTTGGGAATAAAAGGCGTGATGTTATGTTATGTTACTTAATACGTAAGTAACTTAAATACCTACGTCATTCGTCATAAGTTCGTAGACCCGTGTGTGACATAATCAACAATTAAGTAAACTGAAAAATATAATCAGAGATACCTATTCCTTCAATTCCACAATAGTACGATAAGGCATGCGTTCTGCGTAATAAGTTTTTTATCCAAAACATTATCATGACGAAAGTCTATATTTAAACAAAATAATTATAATTTGCAAATTGTTATGTCAAAAAGTATTTACGTCAATGGTGTGAGAAATAACAACTATTACAATAGACTTAAATAATTAAATGAACATCATTGTTATTTTAATTTATACCTAACTGTGTTATTAACTATCTGGTTATTCTTGATAATGCTTACCGTTCCTGCTTTTAACATGTTCGAATTAAGGAGATAGAATAAATTTAAACCATCAAAAGTAAACCAGCCTTACTATTGGTGGTAAGCGGACTCGTAGCAAAACATTTTAGATAATGTAATGTTTTAATATGGCATTATAGAGATAAGGAGACTACAAACAGTAGCAGAAAAGAAAACTACAGAAGTTATCTAGTAAGATATATTTTTACACTTACACACTAGGAACTCTTGATACTTCTATGTATTCAATACCATATTGTGTTAAATAAAAATTATTCTTATTCTTCTAACTAGCATTGGTCATAATGGTCATACATATTTGTTAAAAGTGGGATGAAGTTTACCCAGAAATTAATATTTGCAACTATCTTGAAGTTTTCTCTTCACTTGACCAGTAGTGGCTAAATAGATATCGATTATTAACTCGTCGAGTACCGGTTTTGTAGACACAATTATAGAACAATAGGTTGCGGTCACCGGTGACCGCTTGGTATTTGACAGTTTAATAGTAGATTTTAGT